AGCCTGGTCTCTTTTTTCCCATCTGTGGACTGACTTGCGCCAAGAGGCTTATGATAACACTGCTCTATTTGCAAACAGGCTGGGAGTTTGGTCCATCGAGTCTTCTGTTACAAAGGGTGTTTAAGAAAAGCTTTCAGATTTAAGGCCCACGATGACTGACCAGGAGCTTTACAGTAGAACAGTTACCTTTTTCCTCAAAACAGAGAGATCTGTAAAGTACAACGAAGTAAGAGGGCAGAGACAGCATTAATTATGAAAAAGCTAATCAAAAGGATAGAAAAATAAAAATGTCAACTCTGGGCAAAAATATGTCAATATTGGTTTGTTTGCAGAACCTGGTCAGAGGCCGATATGCTTATATGCTTGGCTTTAAGCCCCACAGTGTGAAGGATCTGTTCGGCAGACCAGCCCCCAGTTGAGTTCCTGCCAGGACAAGCCCAGGACCCCTCGCTGGCCCCCTGGGTCCTCTAGTGAGGGCACTTCCTGCTTCTGCTGTGAGCAGTCAGCTCAGACGGGGCTGCGAGACAATTAAGGCCTGAGGTGACCTCTTACGGAAGGGCTCCCTCCTGCTGCTCCTCACACCTGACCAGGGTGGCCCCTGGGCCCTTCCTCGGAGGAGCTGTGGAGGTGGACATGCGTCCAGACACCCCAGGACACGCGGATGTGGGGCACCTCTCCTCAAGACCCTGGACTGGCCTAGGTTCACAGCAGCGGCCCTGCTGTCGATCCAGCTGCCACTGAGATCCGAAAGCCTAGACGAGGAAGGCGGGGCTTTCACCCCTCAACAGGGGAAGGGCAACCAGCTTCCTCAGTGATGAGCTGGAAGTATTACAGAAGCTGTGGTCATCTGAATAATGGAAATGTGTCTGTTTAAATCTGATTTTTTAAAATTGTATTTTAACTCCGTGAAGACTGGCAAATTGTCTGTGGAGTACACGAAAAACTCAGTAAACCTGAATGGTGCCTAATATTCTTGCGATACTTCAAATAAAGCCCCTTTATTCCCACTCCGGACTGAGAAACTAAGGCTCCGAAGAGCTCTGTCATCGAGGAAGGCCCTGTGTGGCCGTGAGGGCCACGTGCTGCCAGGTGCCTTGACACACACAATCTTGTGGGAGCGATTCTCTGACCTGTCACTGCTAACTGCAGTTTGTATGAATACATCCCTCAAGGCTTTAAATACCATTTCTATGCTTTCATCCTGATGCTGGGAAAGACTGGAGGCAACAGGAGAAGAGGGCGGCAGAGGATGCATCACCAACTCAATGGACATGAGTCTGAGGAAACTCCGGGACATGGTGAGGGACAGGGAAGCCTGGCGGGCTTCAGTTCATCAGGTCGCAGAGAGTCGGACGCAACTGACTGAACAATAACAACATGCTTTCATCCCCATCTTCTGAGCTTTAGTTACTCTACTGACTACAGCAGGACTCCCTATCTTTTCCTGATCTTAGTTGTGGCAATTAATTGTTTTCAGGTCAGAAGCCAGAGTCGTCACCTAGCCCCCACCGTGGCACCAAGTTCTGTCTGTTCTTCCCACCCCACGAGCCCGGGTCAGCTCTCCCGGGAAGGCCTGTTGGCAGGAGAGCTCAGTGAAGGACAGAGAGAGGCAGGGAGACCTAGCAGGTGACACGGAACGACGCAGACCCGGAACGCGCATGCAAACGCGCCATCAGCTCAGAGGCCAGGGCCGCTCCTCCCGTACGACCGAGTCCTCCATCCCCTCTGCTGAAGCCAGGTTCCTGCCCTCCCCTGTGAGCCTGCACGGCTGGGCACAGCTACCCTACACTCGGGGGGAGAAAACTGAAAACAAGCCACAACGCTGACCCAAAGTCTGCAAAACTCCACTGCCTCCGACAGAAAAGGTTCAGCTGCCGCAAGTCAGTGCACAAGCTCGCCGCGCCCGGGAGGATCCAGTGAGCTCTCCTTGGAAGGCTGACGCGTAACCTGCCGGGGGCGAGGACCCCGGAACCCCGGGGCTGAAATGCCGGCCGGGGGGCCCTCCACCCCGTGCAGCCCTCTGCCTTTGTCCTCTAGACACTCATTTCCTGCCTCTCACTCCTCACAAGACAGAAGTCTGCGCACACTGCCTGGCAGACCTCCTCACTCCCCTCAGCCTCCGAACTCTGTCTTCCTGGGGTCCAGTGGGCACTGGAGGAAGCCCAGGCACCCCACCCCCGCATCTAAGGACCCTCAGAGCCTCTGTTCATCTGGGAACCAGCAGCAGGCTTCACAGGTTCTACCCAACAGGGGGCACACTTCCTGGATCTTAAAGTGACCAGGCAGAGCCCATCTCTCAGCCGGAGTCCTCCACCTCCATCTCCACTAACTCCGGTATCTAAGAGCGCCACTGCACAGCCAAGGGTCACCGCTGAAGAGCGCCGCACGGAGTGAGATCTCCATAGCAGGGCACGAGGCGCTGCCCGCGATCCGCGGGCAGGGAGACCCTTGGCCCAGGGCTGGCCTGTGTCCATCAGGACAGAGGAGCACTCCCCACCCTGCTTCCAACCTCCTCCTGGTCGGCACGCCCAGCCTTGTGGATCAGCGTTCCTGGCCAGGCCCACAGTCGCGCACAGAGAGCTATGGCTGCAGACCCACCTCACGGGGGGGATGCCCACCACCCACCTGCCTCACACGCCAGGTGCTCGCTGAAGCAAGGCTGGCCTTAGACCACGAGAGTGGCATCAGGTGTCTGGTTCTGTTCAAGGAGCACCTAGTGACTGACAGCTGAAACTGAAACGTAACTGAAATTCCTCAAACGGAGGCAAAGGGCTTTGAATTCCGAGGAAAAGGTTGGGGAGGAAACAGTCATGGCTGACACAGTCCTGGGAGGGCGCCACACACCAGAGGCTGGATTCCGAGCCTGGAGAAGTCAAGACCTCACAAGTGGAACGCAGTGTGTAAACTGCGTGGGAATGGAGTTTCTGGATTAAAACAAAAACAAGAAAGTCTCTTACCTGGCTTATCCCTCCGAGAAGAGGGGAGGGCCCGGGTTCTGATTCTAGAGTCACAGCTCTTCAGTACAAACTTCTGTGGCAGGTTGGCGCTGGTGTTAGGAGCCCTGGTTCCTGAAGTGATTCCATCGCTGGGAACTGCCAAAGCAATGGGACTGAGTGAAGGAAGGAGGCTGTCCGGGCCCCTACGCACTGGAGGACCAGGAGCCGAGCGGGCTGGTCTCAGCCTGCCTGTCAGGCCGGCCTCTGTGGAGGAGAACCGCACAGCTGACATTCACGTATGCACCACACTGCTACATTCCGAGGCTGTGACACGTCAGACGTTACAAAACAACATCTGTGAACGACGCTGGATCTGGCTGGCGGTGCCGTGAGCATGCTACACAGGCACAGCGGATTCTATTTTTAACACTTTATCAGCGAAACAGAGCTCCCTTCCCTCCACCCTCACAGACAACTAGTCCTTTTGTTTTTCTTGCCGGTAACACAACTTACCTGCTTAACCAAGGCCGGTGCTGGCATGCTACAAAGGCAGTTCACACAGTAGCCTGCTGCACCCCTGCAGAGTCTCCCGTTTGAACTGCTCCTACACAGGGAACTGTGTAGCTGTCTTATTCAGAAAAAGCCTAAGTGGTAATAATAGTAATGGGACGTGCTAGGCTTTGGATAAAACTGCTGTCATGTCCCCATTAGCTCAAATTAGAAAGAAGAAAGTGACTGCGAGTTAGTGGGAGTTCCAACATACAGACTCGTTGCACAAAAAAGATCCCCAGACTGGGGGTGAGGGGGGCAGTCCACGATGGAACTTTGCCAACATCCCTTGCCTAATTAATGCAAGAGACTTCTTAGACAGAAAACTCTGAAACTCAAATAATATTTGAGAAACCAGGAAAAGACCAGGATGTAAGTGTATCAAGTAAGGCTGAGAGGGAGGCTGGAAGGAGAAACTGGAAGCATGCACTTTAACTGCACCCCGCCCCGCACCTTTCCCTGTCAGAAGACCACACCACCTCCAGAACTGGGCACATTCTGGCGTGGCTCCTGGGCTTAATTTAAAACAAAAGAAACATTTGTGGTCACTCTGTCAAAGTTTCAAATGCTCTGCAGACTACAGCTGGAATCCGGATTATATTCAGGAGTCCTGTATGGGTATCCCAGCCATTAAACCTGCACAGGAGTGATGACAGAAATTTACCTTCTGTCTGGAATTTAGTTTCGTAATGAAGTCAGAAAAATGAAAATGACCAATTGCCAGGAGGTTATTTTTGACTATGGTCGGCACTTGTCCTTCATCAGGGTCACTGTGGAAGAGTCCCCCACCACCTCTCGCCCCGCCCCCTGGTTTGCCACCAGCATCCTTGAGGGCTTAAGGAAGAGGGCCGGCTCCTCAGCAGGGGTCACACAGTGTACTCCCGGTCTCCGCTGAACCCAGAGGCTGCTGGGAGCTGTGTGGACAGTGGAAGCCTCTGTCCTGGGACGTGTGCACGATGAACCACAGCTGCAGGAAACACCGCAGGTCTCCTGGATGGGCCGAGTAGGTAGGTGGTGATGGGAACTCCGCTTGGTACCAACACCCAAAAGTGAAGGTGAGGTAACAAAGGCTAGAAAGGAGGCACTTATTAAAAACAACAAAAAACCAACAAAACAATAGAACCAAACAGCGTTCAGTGGGGCCTGAAGACATGGAGCACCATGCACATGGCCACGTGCACCGCCCGCTGTGAACGCCACAACCCCGTGACCTCCGGCCATGGGGCCCCACTCCAGCCCGTGCTCTCAGCTGTACAGGCCCATCCCCGGCTTCTCTCGATCCAGATGACAGGCCATTCCCCCATCAGTCCGCGGACGCCACTCACGCTAATCACCGCCTGGACGCTGGCCCCCCAGTCGAGGCCACAGCCCCAAGCTCGGGCTGCGATTCCTGCAACGGAGGGCCTGACTCTGGGGGGGTGCGCCTGACATTTGTCCCCAGTACCCAGCTGTCACCACAGGGAAACCAAGACTGTAATCACAACAGCAAGGACAGGCTCGTGTTGCTTTTTTCCTTTTTTTTTTCTTAAAGGAGTGAGGGCATGGAAAATACAGCACACCAATGAAACAAAAGGCCAAAAAAAAAAAAAAAAAAAAAAAAAAAAAAAAAAAAAAAAAAAAAAAAAATGAATTTACAAGTAGTACATTACTATGATCAGAAAGCACAGAGACACCTGCTGCTATAATACATGCATCGGTTCAAGAAGAAACTACTGAAAACCCTGCGAGGAAGAAGCCTGTAAAAAAACAAAACAAAACAAAACAACGGGTCAAAAAGTTTTAACTTTTCATCCCTAATTTGCTACACTGATCAAAACCAAATGACAGTCCCCTACAGTCCATGAGTCTATCAGTACAAATACTATACTGGTTTTTAACTGCACGTTCAGTTGTGGAGGGAGAGACAGCAGCTTGTCTGTATACAAGGAAGCCAGCGTGAACTGCTCTACATGCTAGAAATTACAGCAAGCCCCTGTCTGCTACACAGCATGAGCTTAGCGGGTTTTAATTTCTGTTTATTCATATATATCTATGTGCATGTGGGTGTGTATGTACGTATAAAAACCGTGCCCTCGTTCACTGCCAACACGACGTCTGGGTGGACATGAACTCATTACAACAAATTCTTATGTGTATGTTGTAAGAAGTCACTCAATGTCTGTGGATTTAATAAGTCACTTCACACCACAGAAAATATTTAATAAATCCAAAAAAAGGAAAGAAGAATATAACGACAGAAGAGCTTCTGTCTCAGTTCTCTGAAACTGAGTCCCCCATAGGAAACTGGTCCCAAAGTTCTTGAGGGTTCACTGAAGAAACCAGTTTGCTAAGGTTTTCATCCTTTTAGTGTTCAAAGGTACAGAACGACTCCTTGCCGTTGTCAGTTTCAACAGTCACATCTCCGTCCCCCACAGGTAACAGTCTGGTGCAGATCCATAAAAACGGGGGAGGGAGGAGCGCTGGGGGGTGGGGGAGGACCTGTCACTCCAGGAGGGGCTCCACCTCTCCGGCGGCAGGAAGAGAAGGAACCACGCAGGCTCCAGCACCTCGCTCCCAAAAATGCAAAATCTGGGCACACGGCAGTCCTTACACAGGTGCATCTCCGAGTACCAGGCCAGCTCTAAGAGGAAACAAACCACACGTTGACAGAGAAGGACTGAGAGGCCATTCTGATTGCCCGCTGTGATCCATCATACTTCCAGGAATCGGGAGCTGCTGGACTTGGAGTGGAATGGCTCAGACCACATTCGCCGTAGGTCACCCTGGGAAAGACAGAACTTTAGCCACATGTTTCAGATTGAGGCACACCTATCTATGTACAAGCCATTCCTGACTCCTGACCTCAGAGCAGATTGCTTCTGTGCAGAATCAAAGAACATTCACATTTTATTCATTGAAAAGTAACCTCCCAGTTCTTTGAAGAACTCGCTAGAAGGGCTCTTGGCCGTCCCTGCCCCTCACAGCAGGAAAGGGCTCTGACTCTGTCCTGGGGGCAGTTCAACCACTTGTGAGTCAAATGATCCAGGCTCATATTAACCTCTGTGTCTGCTTCCTTGTCTGTAAAATGTGGGTGGTAGTATAAACCTTGTAAATCAGATAAGGCCCTCAGGTTTTATATTTCTTATTTCCAAACTTTAATGCAGAGTACTAAAAGAGCTATTAGGTGGCAACAGCATGCTGCTTTTAAGAGAAACAGAAGTCTCTGCAGCAGGGTTTTAGGGTAATCCGTGACTAGGTGGTGAGGGGTCTAACTCATTAGTATTTTCAGCCAATGGCTGTTAACAATCCGGAAGAGGTTGCTAATAGTAGGTTAGCAAAAACGAAATCCACCCCTCCCACACACAAAGATCCCAAGATCAAGAGCTTAGGGTCTGAAGCAAGGGGAATACCTAGCCAAGTCCAGGGTCAATGCCATATTATTGCTTTCACTGGCTTATAACTGCCTCTCTCACCTTTAAATAGGCCATCGTGAGGAGTGGCAATAAGGTAAATGGCACCAAATAGAGAAGGGCAGGCTGGGCTGCTCGGTGAATTCGAGACGCCACAGTCGCAGTGAGCAGACCTGCGGGGAGAGAAACGCTGGTGAGTAACTCCGAGCGGCCAGCCCGAGGGAAGAGAACCTCTGTTACCTGATGGCTTCGCCGCACAGTCCTGAGACTGTATAGCTCTAATGTGACACTCCCTCCAGTGGTAGGGAGTAACATGCCTAGCTTGAGCAGGGAAAGAAACAGGGAGCAGCACAGCTTTTTAAAAACTAAGAATTCCCAGGACCTGTAAGTGGCCAAGTCCCTGGTTCCAGGCCTCACTTCAGCCCCCAGCGTGCCTGGTCTCCCTGTCTCCAACATATATGATGACGACAGGCGTGTGGACATGCTAAGTTGCATCAGTTGTGTCCGACTCTTTGATTCTCCAGGCAAGAATACTGGAGTGGGTTGCCATGTCCTCCTCCAGGAGATCTTCCCAACTCGGGATGGAACCTGCATCTCTAATGTCTCCTGAATTGGCAGGTGGGCTCTTTACTACTAGTGCCACTGGGAAGCTGGGTGACGACAGAGTTGGAGGCAAAAGACCTGGGTTCAAGTTCTAACCCTGCTGCTTGTGACAGCCGTGTGACCGTGCACATCTCTGAGCCTCAGGGTAGTGGCCCTGGCCCACTGGGAGCCGCTGGCGTGGAAATGAGCGCAGGCCTAGGCAAGCGCCATGGAACTGTGCAGTGCTCCCTCAGCAGGAGGCACCAAGGTGAGCAAGGTGCTCCTCTCCATCGCTCTCGCAGCTCATGCAGGGCAGACACACAACCGTCTCTCCCCGTCCAGCCGAAACAGCTGGCTAGAGAAACACTAGCCAAGGGAGAGTCCGGGTCAGAGGTGACGGAAATGTTAGAGCAGATGAAGGGAAATATCTGTCAAGGAGCACAGGAAATAAACATGACATCCATTAAACTCACGCTAAAGATGTAATTAAGCACACACACTGCTCCATCACCGTGGGGCAGCTGTTCTTAGTCTGAGGCCTGACCACATTTCTCCTACAATGTCCCTCAAACATACTATTATCGGATAGGGAACGAAGCTGCTGGCCTAACCTTGGGGTCAGGTGTTGCTTTCCCCTCTGTGGTTGTTGATAACAACTTGAGTGACTGCTCTTCTTCCTCCAGCATCTGTAGCTGCAAGATCTGGGTTAACTCCAGCGCTTGGAGGACAGTCAGGGAGGGGATCGCATGCAGCCTCCCCGGTTCTCTTACCTACAAAGTATCCGATGAGGGTGCAGTGAAAGTAGGAAACCTTCTGCATGCGCCCGGAGATGTTGGCGGGTCCGGAGGCACCGCAGGAGTCACCATTGGCTTGCTTCTTGTAGTTGTCGTAACGCAGGACGAAGCACAAGAGGAGTCCAGGCATCACGATGTCTCCGATGCCCAACATAGAGAAGTGGCTGCCCGTGGAGCTGGAATGCAGGGTCACATGTCAGGGGTTTGCCCTCTACCTCCCCACTCCTCCTCCTGCTCAAGGTCTGTTCGCTTTTTAAGAAGCCAAAGAATTCATCTGATGGCTGATGGCAATCGCTCCTGGTCTAACAGCACTGGCTGTTAGAGGAGTGTGGAGACTGAACGCCACTAGAGTACTGGAAGAAGGGTCTGCAGCAGCCAGCGCTTTGGGACAACACCACCTAAGCAGCTGCTAAAGCGTCCGTGTAGTGCTGCCGCCTCTAGAGATGTCAACTCACCATGTGTCACACATTCACTGCTGAGATTTCCAGTAAGCACCCGACTACTACCAGACATGGGAGATGAAAGCAGCACATTAATTTTTCCAAGATTATAGTTCCAGGGACTCTGTAATTTTAGCATTAACACATTTTTACAAATGTTGGAAAAGTAAAAAAAAGACCCAGATCCTCCTATTAATTCCCTCTAGCCAACTTTAAACTGCAGTACAGCAGTAACGTATGGCTGTTTGATAACATTAATCAATTATTAACAAGCTGCACCCACATCACTTAATGACCCATCTCTGGAAGTTGTCAGTACTCCTGTTCTGTCATCTGTAAGGTGGAGATGATTCACAATCCTTTCCTGGTCCAGCATCAGAATGCTGATGACGACGACGACAAAGGGGGACCGGAGGGGCAGAGGAGGGCGGGGTCCTCACCCTCCAGAGACGAGGCCACCAGTCCTACCTGGGGAAGACCAGTTTTCCAGGCAGAGACAGGCGCGGGACGTCGCGTCCAACGTTGGGCCCCAGGTGAAGCTTCCGGGACAGGACGTCAAGGGGATTGTCAGCTGGCTGTGTGGCCACCTTCACCATGACGTTGCTATTAAAGATGTAGGCAGAGAAAAACACCTGCCAGGAGAGAGTCACCTTTACCAGAGGGAACTGGAGGCACCCCGATCTCAGCACCAGCCCTCTTTGTTCCTGAGAGTGGAGTCTCAGAACCGCAGCATCAGGCTTTTCAGACTGCACGCTTCGAGGAGAGATCTCTGCTCTTGTGTGTGCTGTAGATTTCTTCTCTCCACACCCAGAGAGGGAGCCCACACCCAGAGAGGGAGCCCTGAGAGCTGAGCTGGCCATGCTCCAGGGTTGAGAGCCTTGCTTCTCTCCAGAGTAGAGAGACTTGTGCTCCCTCCTCACCTAAGAGTCACCTGCGGACTCTCTACTCTGACAAGTCTCCATGCACACAGGCCCACTCATCTTCCAACAGGTGCAGTGCCGTCCTGGAGGAGTGGTTTTGGACAGGAGGTACCCTGGCCAGCAGACTTGGGGTTTTGAGTACATTTTCAGGAGTGAATGTTCCAATCAGACCTGAAGGAGAGCAGCAGCTCTGGGGAAACACTCACCCAGAAGACATCGTAGATGAGAAGCCCTGAGAGAAGCAGGCAGGAGACCTTGAGGCTGGGCAGGCGGACGAAGGCGATCATGGCGACACAGAGACCCATGGCCAGGGCTGGGGAGGAGATGGTGGTCAGAGCGGAGCACAGGCACAGCCTCCCTCCACACGCCATTCAGCTTGGAAACCTAAGAGAACTTGTAAGTCCCTCAGCCCTAAGCCCAGGTGAGGTGTTTACACTTAACTAGTGCAACGTGCCCACCTCAGCCCATTCTGACTTCCTGGTAGTTGGGAAAACCCCTTTCCTCATGCTGGAGATGGTGGTCAACTAAGACCCACAGGGCTGTTTTGAATGACAAAGCTCTAGGCCAAGCCCAGCTCTCCTGGCTCTGTCTCCCGCCTCCCCCACCACCTCACTGCATTGCCCTTACTCCTTTAAAGCCACACCCTAGACCACATCTTCTTCACTTCCTAAGGACGCTGTTCCAGTCAAGTCACTCCTTTGTGCTCATCCTCCCCACCTGAGTCTAAATAAAGGGGACAAGGCAGAACTGCTCAATGCCAGGGTTTTTCGTGACTCCACACAATCATCCTATCGCTCATCTTCAAGGCAAGAAACCCTGCGCTCCTTTTGGACTTATCACAACCCTCCTCACATGCACAGGCTGCTGCCGCCATCTGGGGTGCCCCTCTTTCCCGTCACTGCACACCACAGTCAGGATCCTCACACCTCCTGCTGTGCTGTGGGTATCCGTTCCCATTTTCTCTCTCTCCCCTACTTACACTCTTCACTGCCCTTGTCAAAAACCAGTTCGCATCATCCCCTGCCTCAAATCATGAGGTCCCCTTCTCTGTGATGGGTCACCTCTGACTGAGGAGGCGTGACTCACACACTGAACAGTGCTGTGCCACAGGGGCCTGGCCTCAAGTCTCCTCTTGTGTTCCTATTCCTCCACCGACTCCTTCTCTCCATCTGAGTTGAGCGATAACCTCTTTCCAACCATGCCAACCAAGTCTCCCCACCAGACTCCCAAGTTCCATGTTTGAAGAGGCAGCATGCATCCCGTCTGACTACTTCAGAGAAGGTTCTCAACACAAGCGTGTTCAATGACAATCATTCCCACCAACCGAATGGTGCCACCAGCTGGTCACAGCCCCAAAACACACTCTCAACTATTCATCCAGTTGGCCTTTCTTCTTCATTCTTTCATCCTTAAAAAAATCTTACCTCCTCTTCTGGGCTCTTCTAAGGAACAGAGGTGATAACTTTCCCTCACTGCATGCTGCCTGAGAAAACCCAAGACTTTCCCTAATAGATTTACCAACAAATTTAACTTCTGGTTAAATGTAAATTAATAAAAAATGTTAGACAGGTAAATTATTAATCTCTGCCCTTTAGTTATAATTATCTTTAATATACTATTGATAGAATCTCTATCACCTTCTCTTTCTCAACCAGGAGGGCCGGGAACAAAGAAAAGGACACCAAGCCAAGCTGCAATGTTCTCTAAAAGGACTGTGTAACCTGGAAGGTCTTAGGCAGTGCTCACATCTAAGACAAAGGCTTCTGGAAAGCTAATCCAGATGTGGACCAAGCGCCACAGTCTAGCATTTTAAAACAAAACAAAACAAAGCAAAAGATCCACTGCTAGACTTCTGGGATTGAGCATTTTCTAACCTGAGGCGAACAGCAAGTGCCATACAATGAGTCATCTATCTGCCAGGCTCTTCGAGGCCCTGAACTGCTGAGGGGACGTAGAGTGCGAACCTGGCTCAATGGTCCCTGAGCACGAGGAATGTGTGAACCAGAGTCATCAGCCTTTGCAAACATACCACACCACTTATTGGTCAAGTTCTTTCAAGTCCTTCCAAATTTAAAAGGTTAATTTGTTAAGAGTAGGAAACTGAGTAGGTAAAAAAGCAGCTACAGATTTAGTTCAAGAAAACTCTATAAAGTACCTTCTTAATATTACTGCTTCTCAGAGTAACTCTGAAAATAAGCTTCATGCCTCACCCTTTAAAATAACCACATTTATCATTCTGTTTTCACTGTAAATTAACTTCAAAGAAACAGGATTTAATTGAAAAAACACTCATTTAAAAGAAATCCACATTATCGCTACCTACAAAATGATACCTGATTCTGCACATAAGTCTGGAAAGACAGTTTGCATGTCAGGGGAGAACATATTTCAGAATGTTACAGACGCATGGCTAGCAAGCTAGCTTATCTGTAACAGCAGAAAACAAGTCACATACACATCAAACAAGGATATATATGAGAAACAAACAACTAAAAGTTCAAAGCCTCTCTCCTTTTTTTCTTTTTTAGGGAAAACTGTAAGTTTGGTCACAAGGACAATTTAACCAGTATAACCAGTAAGAGATTCTTATCATTTGGGGAAGTAGCAAAAATGACAGAAAATGATATAACTTTACAAGTTAGGGCCACTAAGGGTTTGGGAAGCCTAAAGGAACAGTCAAAAAAACTTCAGCTATTAGGTACATTTCACAATGGAAATTTGTTTCTGATCTTGGTCTCTGGGAAAATAAAGCTTGCTTTTTATGGCCAATTTGTACTGACTCTAGGGGCAAGAATCCCATGGTGATACAGCCCCTATAGAACAACTTGTGGAGAGCTGCTGCCCCCGCCTTCCTATAGAGAGTCTAATAGGACTTTCCCCACCCTGCCTGCAGCCGTGTGGTGAAGACCATTCAGCTGACTGCTCTCAAAACTGAGCTTCAGATGGCTGTGCAAATCAATTTATCTGGAAAGAAAGTCACCTTCCCTCATGCCAACCTCTTCTTTTTTAGAGGCACACTACTTTGGTATTTTCCTGTCCTATGTAATGCTCAAGGAGAGGAGAGAATGGAGTATGAAGGACACACTGCTTGCTGTTTTGAGAGGTACCTAATGTTTTAAAAACTGGGTCAGCAACTTAGTAAACTTCAAATCCTTAGCAAAACCTGTAAACAGTATTGTGTGTGTCCGGTTGTTGTTTAGTCACTCAGTTGTGTCCAACTCCTTTGTGGCCCCATGGACTGTAGCCTGTCAGCCTCCTCTGTCCATGGGATTTCCCAGGCAAGAATACTGGAGTGGGCTGCCATTTCCTTCTCCAGGGGATCTTCCCAACCCAGGGATCAAACTCGTGTCTCCTGTGCTGGCAGGCAGATTCTCTAGCACTGAATCACCTGGGAAGCCCCAGTTCCATGGAAGCAGGGCCACCGACAGTCTAGAGTGGGATTACAACGAGCCTCAGACTACCCAGGGGCTAGAGGCTCCAAGGTTGTTTAAACATCACCATCACCGCCCCAACTCAGTGCCAGAATGGAGACTAACCAGTCGCAGGTAGGGGACTGTGGCTGCCAGAGTCTACGTCAGACTGCAGTGCTTGGAGCTCTCCTCTGTGTAGATGAACTTAGGGGTGCCATTTATGGGAACGGGCTCTGTCATTTAAGGACATCATCATAGAACATTTTCTCTTAATAAGTAGCTAACAATCATCCAAATTGTCACTTTATAGGGGACTGAAATAATCCAGTTTAGATTTTAACCAACTAACCAACATTTATATCAAGGTTTTGTTCAGAAGTAGTAGAGGAGAAATGTCTGTCTGCTTCCTCATCAGGAAGCACTGGACTGGATGAGCTTAAAGGGCCACAATCACAAAAGCAGCTGTGAGACTGACTGACTGACATTACTCCAATCATTAACAGGACCAACACTCCTTAATTTTCTATAATACATATTTTAAAGCACAACTAGGTTCTATTAAAGTCTTTCAAAATCAACTACATGCTCAATTTCAATACTGCTTCTGGTTAACCATCAGCCCTTGGCAGGAATCAGGAGTTAATGTCAGGAAAAGTCAAATGCAAGTTAATGGCTACACTACTACTAACTTCTAGTCGCTATAAAACAGTTCTTACCCTTCTGCTGTAATCTGGCCAAGCCCTGCGGAGACTTTGGATGGAATTTCTTCTTCTCAACTTATTCTTTATCAACCTTCAGAAGCACTTAAGTTATCAACCACCAATCCACAAGGATACTCAAAGCACAGATACTTGAATCTGGGAAATTTAGCAGTTCAATAAACCACTTAAAAATTCTAAACACTGCACTTCAGAATGCATATTTATATGCGCAGTGGATATTCAAGTACTGAAGCAAATGATCATAGTAAATTTTTTTAAAAAACCAGGCAATATATGGCACTACCACAAGAGACCAAGCATGTCAGGAGATCAGTCCGTCACTACACAGTCTGGGCCTGGTGACTGAGACTCTGACTTCCTACTGAGTCGTTTAAAGGTCTGTATGTAAGTCTAAACGGTAACCTGATCTGCAACCTCAAGGAACTGCTTTTGAGTTCCCATACTTGGTCTATGGTAGGCACTATTTAAGAAAAAAAAAAGTACTCAACAACAAGTATGACAGCAAGTATGCAGAGTCATATTCAGGCCACAGGTCCGAGGCCTCGTACCACGGCCACAGAGGCAGAGCCCAGAACCAAAGTCACCTCCAAAGCTAATTGCGTCCCTTTGTAACCGTTGCCAAAAGCCCTTGATCATCACTATCAGGCTTCCTGACGCCCAATTAGGCAAAGATGCCCACTCTAGTAAACACCCTGTAGCGCCCCAACCTGACACCTAATGCCAACCCTCTGGCAGGAAGTTACTTTGTCTTCAGGCTATAAAAATAACTCACGAATACTGTCAACTCTCCCTGGTCTGTCCAGAGGTCTGCCCATTGTGCTCACAGTATCTCTGCTCTTTGTTCTTAATAAACTCCTTCCCTTCTGAGATGCTCTGTGTCTGGAAATTCTTTTCCGACCCGCACTTGGACAGCCTCAAATATATACAAACAAATTATATAAAATCATAAGTATGTATATTTAATGTTTTACAGATTATCACCGGCAGAAATAGCAGTTTGGCTTTAGATGTGCAGTTCTGCGGATGTGAACACGTGCGCAGGTGTGTAGAGCTGCCCCACAGAAGCCCTGTGCCGTTTCTGCACAGGCGCGCCCTGCTTGGTGCTGAGACAGCACCGAGGGACAGCTCCCTGCAGGCGTGCCGTCCTCTCAGCTGCAGGGATCTGGTGCCTGGCAAGAAGGGGAGCCCCTCGGACCTGGCAGTGCCTTCAGAGAGCTCTGTTCCAAGGTCTGGGCTAGTCTTGTGGTTGCTCAGAATGGGTTAGAGGAAGAAGTACCACCCATACCCATATCTCTGTTTTCCAAACTCCTCCCTTTAAAAAATTCTTTACACAATGTTGATACACATTACGACATAGATGAGCTAAAACAGCATAAAACTGACTGTAGTTTTTCAACTTCCTTCCCTTCTAAAACACCGAAAGAAAAGAAAGTGTGAACAGACTTCATGGGGCAAGGCAGTTAGATAAAATCTCATGAGATTAGTAAAGTGAACTGTGAAAATGACAGAAGGAATGAATGAAAAAGGAGGCAAAGATGGTTACAGGGTCTTAAGAAGAGACTAAAAGTCACTTCTCTGAACTTATTTCCTCTTCTGTAAAATAAGAACAACAGTACCTAATTCAAAGAGTTGTTTTCAGGATTTCATGAGAAAAATCTATGTAAAACACTCAGCAGCTCAATGTTAGCTATTATTACCCTGTATCTAATGATATAGACACGTATTTATATCAATACACTATTATATATTCCTCATATTTATATATAATATGGATATTATATTACAGTATAATCCTATTTATATTAAGAAAGTACAAAAATTTGTACTCCATTTCTCACAGTAGCATTATTCACAGTCAAAAAAGTGAAAACAACTAATGAATGGATAAATAAAATTGATGCATCTATAAAATTAAACAATATCTGGCCATAAAAAGGAACAGAGAACTACTGATGTATGGTACAACATGGATGAACCTTGAAAACAGTATGCTAAGTAAAAGAAGAGACAAAAAAGGTCATATATGATATAATTTATGCAAAATGTCCATAAGAGACAAATTCACTGAAATGCAAAGTAGACTAGGGTCTATCTGGGGCTGGGGTAAGTGACTGCTAATGGCTGTGGGTTTTGGAGTGTCAGTGTGAAAATGCTCTAAAGTGGTGGCTGCCCCACCCTGAACATACTAAAAATGACTGAACTGTACACTTTAAATATATTAATTGTATGATATGTGAATTACATCTCAAAAAAGCTGTTATTAGAAAATAAAGAGTGTGGGTTAAAACTGATACAAAACACTATCTCTGGAGACCTAATAATTCAAGGTAATCAGAAGTAATATATTACTAAAACACAGAAAGTAGACGAAGAGAGGACAAATTTAACCATAAATGATATTACAATTTCAACTTGTCACCCAGTAGTTACTTACCATCCATGAGAAGCCAATGGCCAGTGAGAACCCAGATGAGGACGAGCATGACAGACAGAGAGAATGACAGTAACTCAGCAGCAGTGAAACGTCCACAGCAACCAAAGGAAATCCTGGAAAACACACAACATTGACTGGACTAATAGACAGTAAATTATGTTCAGTAAGCAAACCCTCCTTTGGTTCTCCATGATCACAATTTATGATGGCCAGATTAGCAGGCAATACCGAGATACCCAGAAATCCAAAATACCCACATTTCTTTGGAAGAAACTACAGAAAGTTCAGAAGGATTACATTTCTGCACCCATTAGATAATGTACCTTTTATCCCAGATACCAACATGGGGTATTGAGAAGTGATAATATCAATATTTGAAAAATCTAAATACAGAGAAATTTCTAATTCTTATGAGGAAAACAAAATGAGGAAAGTCAACAATTCATTAACCAAAGATGAATAAAATTAAGATAGTCCATCTATTTGGTTATCACTAATTCCTGGGAAAATTAGCCACCCCAAGCAACTGATTTCCTAAGAACATACAGCATCTCCATTAGCACAGCATTTTGTTTCCATGAAGCAATAGCTTTAGGAGTTAAGGTGTGAACACTAGAATTAAACCTAAGTGGCTAGTATATATTCTAGGTCATCAGTGACAAAAGGGAAGAATGTCTGAGTCAAGCACTAGTTTCATATTCTATTAATTAGTAAAAATAAAAAAAAAACTGCTCATCTTTAAATAATCTAAGCAAGGAAGCATACTGCAATGACTGACTTCCTAAGATTTGTTTAGATTTCCTCTGCTATGAGAAGGTGTGAAAAGAAGTACTATTTTCCAGTTTTAAAAAATCAAACATTTCATTTTCTAGTCTTCTGGCATTTTCGTGCTTCAGTCAATATCAGAAAATGTACTCTTAATATTGCTATCAAGTACGAAGAAAAAAAAATATACACTTAATAGTTTAGAGGAAAATCCCAAGTCCTTACTTGTTCTGAGGTGAACAAGGCCTTGTTAAATACTGGCACATCGGGAGAAGAAGAAAAGCAAAAGCTATTGTTGCAAGAACTAGAGAAAGAAAATGTATGGTTAATATTTTGTTGTTTAATGTTTTACTAATCATAAGAAAAATGGCATGACTTACGGAAATAATTATTGCCTACAATACTTTCCTCAACAAGTGTATACAATAATATTAATTAACTAGAGAAAAGAAAAGTATCTTTCTTTAGCATTACACAGATAACCTCTTTGCATACCTGATTTGAGGTAGGGGTAGCATTGGCAGGTTTCCTCTTTCTTGTCTATCTCAACAAGAAATGATAAACAGCAGGCCAGAGTATGATCTAACAAGGCTAGCATTTTTAAAATTAATTTATTTTAATTGGAGGCTAATTACTTTAAAATATTGAAGGCTAGCATTTTTTTTTTTTTGAAGGCTAGCAGTTTGATGTTTTATATTGATACACATCCACCATCAATCATCTTGAAAACTGATCAGATAGCTGACAGTCCAATTACTGTGATTAGCTCTCAGTGTTTCTATCTGCAGAAACATGCATGCATAAGGGTTGCCAATAACCACTCTACCAAACTGGACCTTCTGGTAACTTATCAGACAAGGAGTCACAGCCAAAGCAATTCTGCTCTGGTGCCACAAAGTTCTTGAGTTTTTAACCCCTAGCCTTTTGTCCAGACTGAGCTGGCGAGTTGGAAATGATGACAGAGGTATCAAGTGGTTCGGGGGGGGGGAGGTGGGGGGGAGAAAAAGACAAACTTGGAGAGAAAGAAGACTTAGGAAGAAAAACTTGCATGGGGTGGTGTATAAATCTTAATTTTTGAACAGTGATTTTTAAAAACATTAAAAAATTTCCTTTTAAGGTTAAGACTAGATAGCAGAACTCATTTACCTGCTGTACATATTGTAAAAACTACTTGAACTGAGTCAAAGAAGAAGAACATTACTAGGAGAGAGACAGATGCTCCAATTGGAAGGAACAGGGCCTGGGTAGAGTCAATGGTCTGGATACCTGAAAGAGAAAGGGGGCATATTAACAGCTTACGTAACAGGCTCTGCACCCATGGACTTAAATACATTAACTCATCAAAGTGCAGACAGTTCTAGGGATTAGTACATATGATACAGAATACCTAGGCCCTTGGGTTCTTTCCTAGGAAACGAGACTATGAGCTCCCTGCTGTCCTCATAGTGCCTTCACCATAGCAGGTGCTCACCTCCTACTCTGCGCCTGTATGCTATGCTCTTCCAGTGATCCAAGATCACCGTTTCACATCAAATTCACCTTCAGGAGAATCCCTTACTAACTTGACCTACTGTTGCCCATCTTGGCTTGTCTTTCTCTCCAGTCTCTTTGTACATGGATGTCAAAATGACTTCACCACTGATGCTTACTCTGACCTACTGACAGCAGACGCTGGTTCAGAAGGACTCTGAGGCTATGGTAAAGGGTCATAAGAAAAAGCACCTGCTCGAGGTACAGGGGAAAAGGTATTTGCTGTCTTAGCACTTTACTAACACCTTGGGAGTATTCTGGCCACACTGTCTATGTGACAGCTTGAGTACTAACACTTTTTGCATCTTTCAAAATATCTAATAAATGTCAAATGAATGGTAGGTACTTAATATTGATCCCTTAATATTATCAAGTCTCCTTATTTCTAATGTAGTACTTTCTATAATAAGCATTACCAACTTTCTAGTACAATTCATATACCATAAAATTTACCCATATTAAGTAATTCAGTATTTTTTTTGGTAAATTATCAAGTGTGAAGCTACCCAGGTGGCACTAGTGGTAAAGAATCTGCCTGCAAATGCAGGAAACATAAGAGACTGTGGTTTGATCCTAGGGTCCAGAAGATCCCCTGGAGGAGGGAACGGTAACCCACTCCAGTACTCTTGCCTGGAGAGTCCCATGGACAGAGGAGCCTGGCAGGTTACAGTCCATAAGGTCACAAAGAGCTGGACACGACTGAAGCGACTTAGCATGCACCAAGTGTGAGAGGATCACTATAATCTAGTTTTAGAATGTCCTCATCTCAAGAAGATCCCTCATGCCAGTTAACTGTTAATTCTCCTTCCCATCCCTTGCCCCAAGAAACCACTAATCTACTTTCTGTCTCTCTATATTTGTCTTTTTGGAAATTTCATATAACTGGATTCTTAAAATACACAGTTTTTCTATCTGGCCTTTTTTACTTAACAATGTTTTGATGTGCATCTATGTTGGAGCATTTTTCAATAATTCATTCTTTTTAATACTGAATAGTAAGCATTCCATTGCGTGGACATACTGTATGCTGCTTATCCCATTAACTAGTTTACTGATCTTTGAGTTGCTTCTACTTTTTGGCTATTATGAATAATGCTGCTGAACACTTGCCATATAGCATACCTCTGTTTCTTCAAAGCAAACATCCTTTAAAATCTGAAGAACCAGAAGAGACACAACAGTTCTACAAGTACTGCAAGTAGCTATCTTTAAGAGTCACTTAAATGAATTTATGATCAACACCTACAAAATTAACAATCTCACCAAAGGACTTAACAGTTACAAGCAGACAGATACCCATCTATCTTGCTTGTCTTTAAAGAAATAAAGAATCTTGGCTGCAAGGTTTGAGGCATGAATTAAAGGGACTTCACAAGAAATCTGTAGCTCAGATTCAGAACATAAAACTTTAACAAATTATACCTTAAAGATTCAACTGTATTATTATATCAACTGTAATTCTTAAACCCAGTAAATTATCAATTGGGGTTATAGAAAGAATCAAATTAAGACCACTACATGTAGAGAGTTAATTGTCAAAAAATGCCTTACTATTATTGGTGCTGTTGCCATTGAAAGACCCAGAAGAACTGTTACTGTCTTTCTCCTTATCTTGGTTTTCAAAGTCCATATTAAGGGACCTGTGGGGAAAATTGTATAGGTAAGTTTTAGTTTCAAGAAAGAACTAGACCAGAAAAGTGAGTAATGAGACAGTTTTAAATGTTAAAGCACTAGGAAAGAAAGGAAGATTTCTTTTGAGCAGCTCTGCAAAACAGGTCTCCATGCTAGTTCAAGAGTTCCCCTGACAGCAGATAAAAGCACCCCACTGTGGCCGTGTCCCTGTGCACATCTTTGCTTCCTTCCTTATGGTAAATACCTAGAAGGAGAAACACTGGATCAAAAAGGCAAGCACAATTTTGAAACTTTTACATACCATACAACTGCTTCCAAAAAGGTGGATCAATTTACTCTCAGAGCAGTGCAGGAGAGTGAGAGTCAATTCCTAGGCAGGCTGATAAGAAGTCTGGGGTCCCCAAGGAGGAGAAAGGGGTCTGGGGCTCTTAAGGAGGAGACAGGGGTCTGGAGTTCTCAAGGAGGAGAAAAGGACAAACATTTTTTTTAAGCCCAGAGCTGATGATTGCACAACAAAACAACTCATCTTGCTCAAGAATATATGTTTTCCCTTAAACTCTGTACCAATGACTATATAACAACATATCTTGCTAGAGAATTTGTTTCTCCTTAAAAAGGACCTTCTGACTAATCTCGTTATTTTAATTAAAACTTGTATACTGTGAGAGTGGGTCTGGTGAGACCTTTCTACTGTTAGTTCTAATCTTGTTAACTTAAGATGTATGTTGTAGTAGGTCTGGTAGAAAGTATGTAAGGCCTTGCTAAGATTAGGGACGGGGTACTCTCCGTCCCCCTTCTGATGTCTGTGTCAGAAGATTTCTCTGTCCCTTTTTCACTTTAATAAAACTCTGCTACACAAAAGGTCTTGAGTGATCAAGACTGGTCCCTGGTCCCAAAGTTAAATCTTTAGAGATCATGAATTCAACATTGTACACCATAAGCTATCAAGAGCACTTGTTTCTCTTCACCGTATCAGCTCTCCCTCAACAGTAACATGTATTGAGTTACTGCTGTATCTGAGAGTGTTTTAGGCACTGGAGAGACAACAAGTAGAGAGAAAAACAGGCTCTCATGGATTTTATATTTGAAGAGTGGGGAGACTGACAATAAACAAGAAAAATTAAATACGGTATATGGTATGTTAATGGTAACAGCTAAGGAAAAAGGCAGGAAATGGAGAGGGTAGATCTGAAATTTTAAACGGGGCATGCAGGGCTCATTGGTACTATTTCTGAGTCAGACTTGAAGAAAGTAGACACATTCAATCTGGGGAACTAAAAATGCTGTACATGTCCTAATTTAGAATCCTTTAACCACTAAACAATTTTATGTACTGACCTTGCCCATTTCTTTCTCTTTGTTTGAACTGTTCAAGTCCTTAGCTCCTTTTCTACTACTGCCTTCATTTAAAATATCTGTGTGTCCAAAAGAACTTCCTGTGATGGTGGAAATGCCCTGTACCCTGCACTGACCTATTTGGTAGACATGAGCCCATGAACACTTGAAATGTGCGACTGCAACTGAAGGACTGAATTCTGCATTCCATTTCATTTTAATTGGTTTAAATTTAAATAATTTGAGAGCTAAAACTATAAAACTTGGGACAAAATCTTTGTGACCTTGGATTTGGCAGTGGATTCTTACCTATGACACCAAAAAACACAACTGAAAAATTGATAAACTGGACTTAAACAAAATTAAAAACCTTGTGAGCGCCAAGGAATACTTAAAAAAAAAAAAAGGAGAGAGAACCCCAAAAGATGGGATAAAATATGTGCTCTTATGTATCTGAGAAGGGCCTTACATTTAGAATATAGAAAGAACTCCTTCAATTCAATAATAAAAAGACAACCCAAATAAAAGGTGGGCGGACAGTGAATATATCTCTTGCCAAAGAAGATAAGCAAATGGCCAGTGAGAACATGAAAAGTTCTTAAACAACACTATTCACCAGGGAAATACAAGTCAAAATCACAATGAGGTACCAATTAGGAGGGCTGTGACCGAAGCATCAGATAAAGTCAGCAAGGCTGTGAAACATCACACGCTGCAGGTGGGGCTGTCAACTGCTGGAGCCATTGCGGAAAACACTGTGGCAATTTTAAGTTTCTTTAGTGAGTACAGGCCTACTCAGGCTACCAGTTTCTTCTTGAGTGACCTTGGGTATAGACTGTCACTTATAGATAAATTAAAAAATTTATCCATTTCATCTAAGTTGTCAAATTTATTGGCATAAAGTTGTTCATGGTCATCCCTTATTATCCTTTTAATATCTGTACACTCTAGTAATATCACCTCTTATCCCTGATATTAAGTCTCTCTTCTTTATTCCCTCAGGTTAGTCTGGCTAGAGGGTTACCAACTTTATTGATTTTTTTTTTTATCAGCTTTTAGTTTCAGCCATTTTTCTCCACAGAGAAAATCTATTTGATTTACTTTGGCTTTGATCTTTATTCCTTCCTTCTGCCTACTGAATACAGTTTAATTTGCTCCATTTCCCTAGCTTAGTCAGAAATGGTAAAAGGTTTAAGTCATTGAAAATTTTTTCCTCTATTCTAATCCAGGTATTTGGAGCTACAATTCCCTTTGCTTTTGCAGCAGTCCATAAATTTTGTATGTTTGCACTTTAATTCAAAATATTTTCCAATTCCTTCTTGATGTCTTGTTTGCTACAAGAGTGTTACTTTTTGTTTCCAAACATCTGGGGATTTTCAAGAGCTTTCTCTGCTCAATCCAGTTGTGATTTAGGAATCAAATGTTTGGGTCCCCAACAAGGTTCATTTGTGGAAGCCCTAACCCTCAATATGGTGGATGGTATTTGGTGATGGAGCCTTTGGGAGGTAATTTTCCTAAGGTCTTGAGGGTGGGGCCCTCCCAACTGAAGTGGTATCCTTCTAACAGATCTCTCTCTCTTCCTCTCTCCTTTCTCCCCCCTCTCCCTCCCAGAGCAGGCATACGCCCAAAAAGACCATGCACACGAGTGCCTGGTAAGAAGGTAGCCATCTGCAAGCCACACATAGCTCACCAGAACCCAACTACGGTGGCACTCTGACCTCGGATCTACAGCCTCCAGAACTATGAGAAAAATTTCTGTTAAGTTACCCAGTCTGTGGTATTTTGTTATGGCAACCCCAGCTGACTAACAGAGATCAGCGATCAAACTTTGTATGCCTTGAACCCTTTTACTGAGACTTTTTTTAATGTCCCCAAATACATCGTATCCTGGTAAATATTCCACATATACTTGAGGAACATGTGTATTAAACTGCTGAAGTGTTCCATAAATGCCAGCTTGACCTGGTTGAGAACATTGCTTAAGCCACTATAACCTTACTGATTTTCTGCCTATTTTGTTCTTTCGATTATTGAGAGAGGGGTACTGGAATCTTTAGCTACATCTGTGCATTTTTTATTTTTCCTTGAAGCTGTATCAGCTTTTGCTTCGTCTATTTTGGAAATCTCCTGTTAGATGCATAAACATTAGGGATTATTATGTCTTGTTGCTTAACTGATCCCTTTTATCATTATTGGAGAAGGAAATGGCAACCCACTTCAATATTCTTGCCTGGAAAATCCCATGGACGGAGAAGCCTGGTAGGTCCCAGTCCATGGGGTCGCAAAGAGTTGGACACGACTGAGCAACTTCACTTTTTTCTTCACTTTTTATCATTATGAAATAAGGATTTCTGTCTGTGGTAATATTACCTGCTCTGAAAGTTGCTTTGTCTGACATCAGTACAGCCACTCGAGCTTTCTTCTGATGAATATTAAGCTCTATCTTTTCCCACTCTTTTACCCTAAATCCTTTTCCTGGCTTTATAGTGTACTTTCTCTAGTATCATGTAATTGGATCTTACTTTTTCATGCAATCTACCAACACTTGTCTTCTAATTGGAGTTTTTAGGCCAGTTTCATTTAACATGGTTTTTTGTTATGATTAGGTTGGAGATTAGGTTTTTGTTGCTCCCCTGTACCTGCCTTCTTTTGGATTGAAATTAAAATATTTTTCACTTCCTTCTTGATGTCTTGTTTGCTACACTGAAGAGTGTTACTTTTTGTTTAAGTATTTTGTTACAGTATTTTTTAATGACTGTTTTATTTCCTTTGTTGTCTTATTAGCTATAACTCTTTGTTCTTTTATTTTACCGGCTGTGGTAAAGTTTATAGTGTACGTCTTTAATCAACACAGCCTACCTTCAAGTTATATGGCAGTACTTCATTTATAGTATTAAAACCTGACAACAGTTTATGTTTATTTCCCTCTTAACACCTGTACTACTATTACCGTGCATTTTTAAATGTCATGCTATGAACACCATACTATATTATTATTTTTGTTTATACAATCCATTATCTTCTATAAAGAATTTTAAATAAGAAAAAAAAAAACCTTTTGTATTTAACATTGTAGTAAATTTTTCTTTTTTTTTTTTTGGCTTTGCCCTGTCAAACATTACCATGGGTCACTATTACACAAAACAGAAGTCTGGCTAAATAAGGCTGTGAGGACCCATATATTTGCTCAAACATGAAGATACATGTATTCCAGCTTTCTAAAACAAGATCCATGGACCTAGGTTTAACAGATCCCAGGCTACTGTGACGGGTCCAGTAATGGTTACCCACACTGCACAGCTGTCATTTCACAAATTAATCTTCATTCGATAGTATGCCAAGGATATATTTCCACATCAATACATACAACTCCTTTTCCTTTAAAAAACAAAAAAATAGGGACTTACTGGTGGCACAGTGGATAAGAACCCACCTGCCAATGCAGGAGACACAAGTTCAATTCCTGGACCGGGAAGGTTCCACATGCCAAGGAGCAGCTAAGCCTGGGAGCCGCAACTGCTGAGCCAGCACTCTAGGGCCCAGGAGCCTCGACTGCTGAGCCCATGCACTGTAAATCTGTGCTCCAAGGAAAAGCCGCCGTAATGAGAAGACAGCACACAGCAATATGCAGCAGCCCCCTCTTGCTGCAGAGAAAGCCCTTGAAAGCAATGAAGACCCAACACAGCCAAAAATAACTTAAAAAACTATTTAAATAAAGCCAAGAATAGTTCTCCTTGAGTTAACTCGATCTGATATAATTTTTGGCTCAATTCCTGCCTTAGGAGAGACAAACATCAAGAAAAGTAACCTTTTACAGGAAGAT